CAGCCTCAGTCCTTCCGTGAGGAGCTCTGAAGAGCCCACTGGTCCCCGAGTGCGACACGACCACCATCTGCTAGCCCCAGAGGATGCTCCATAAAGACGGAGTATGGCGAAAGACCTGGCGTTGCTCGTGGCCACTCTGTGTGAGGCGAAGCCCAAAGTGCCCGCTGCTTGTTCCCATTGTGGGTTTGTTACAAGAGGACAAGGGGCAGAAGGCACATTCACTCCACCAAAGGAAGCCAGGCCCGCAGCCAGGCCTCTGCCCCTTGACCAGCCGTGTGACCCCGGGCAAGCCCACCAGGCCTCTGGCTTCACACGGGCTCAGGCTCTATCTCACACCCGACGTCCATCCAGCATCACTCTGGGCAGACACTATGCCAAGTGCTTCCGTGCCTGCCAGGGCGGTGCGGTGCCATGTGGGCACACCCTCTGACTCTCCTGTCTAGAAGAGGGATCACAATCAGGACACACGCATTAGCTCATTTCACCCACGCAACAGCCCTGCAGGCAGATCCCATCATCATCCCCATTTTACAGATGAAGAAATCGAGACCCAGTGGGGTCGAGGAGCCTGGAGCTGCCTCGTGTGGCAGTGTGGACCCCAACTCCAAAGGCTGCTTCTTCATCTGTGGGCCCTGTTCCCCTGCGTGTTGAGTCACCTGTGCGTCCCAGGGCCTGGCATACAGCAGGCGCTTAATAAAGGCGTGTCAGCTGAAATACACACCAACAGCTCAAAAACTGAATAGATGGATGCGTCTCCGGGCCTCACTGTCCCCTTCTGGGAAGGCAGGACCGGACACTGTCTACCCGGGGCCCTTCCACCTCTAGCACCCCCAGGACATCCTGAGATAGCACCGGCTTTCAGGGATCCTCAGAATCTGACCTCAAGTCTACACCCCAAAACTTCTAGACCCCTGCCCATGTCTCTGCTCAAACCCAGAAAAGCCTTCTTCCCGACCGATGCAAATCCCCTTCTTCCTACAAGGCCTCCTACCCATGTCTCCAAAAAGGTGTCTGTCTGTCCACCCCCATCTCCTCCACCCCCCACCGGCCCTGGCATCTTTCACTCCTCGGAAATGCAGAACTTATCTGAGCACATCTTAAAGACTGGAGCAAAGTGCAAAGAAAGCAACGTTTTGTGAAAACTCTAGATTATTCCAAAGAGCAGTGAACTCCTGCACCTTTCTTAGTAGGATGCGCCTTTAGGTGCATTCCCCAAATGTCTATCATTTGCATATCACCTTGACAACGCTCGCCAAATCTTCATACCCACTTGACTGCTATGTAGTTCATTTTTTTTCTTTAAATAATCAACCTTAAGTTAATTTATCTTCCTCTTCCTCCCTTCCTTCGAACTTACCCCCATTCCAAGCAGTCACGGTATGCAGTCAGCCCAATGTACCTGTCTGTGCATCCGCTCAGATCATCCCCTTTATAACCAGGGTAGGGGCCGTGCAATTTAAGAAATAATGGGTTTTTGGATTAGGTGTTTTTTAAGCCACAGACTAACCTTGCAAAATAACCTCGATGCATGTTTTAAGCAGTCTGCCAGAGACGGGCTTTTTAAATGATTTTCTTCTCTTCTTTCTGCTCTCCCATTTTTATATTAAGCAGTTGTTGCTTCTGTAACTAGAAACTATAAGTGAATGTTGGAAAATCACTGAGACACCATCTGCGCTTTTCCAAGCGCGGAGAGGGGGGGAGGAGAGATAGTAGGGTGAGTGCCCAGGCATGGGCCAAGCTGATCCAAGCGCGACTTCTGTAGACTCACTTCGAGTTACCGCTCAGCCCGCCTTCCAATTGTTGGGCTCAGAGGAAATCTCGCCCCTCCTGCTTTTCTCCCCCGCAGCTGTCACCGGGTGTGTGTGGAACAGGAAACAGGATTAGAAGATTAACAGTGAGCCTGCTGGTCCAGCCCGGCTGTTATCACGGCCAACTCTGGACAGCCACCTTCCTGGGACACTAGTCACTACCTGCTGCAACCTGGGAGCTGGGACCACGGCCCAGAATTATGCTGAGCAAGTATGAAACCAGGAGTGATGGGGAGTCTCGCTCCACATCAGATACATTTTACTGAGCCAGGACTAGGCACCGAGCCCTCCCCGGGCATTCTTATAGCATTCTCACAAGAACCTTAGAAAGTGAAAGCTACACTTATTTGTGCCCATTTTACAGATGAGGTATCTGAGGCTCCAGAGGTCTGACCACTTGCCCAAGGTCACATGTAAACCCAGGTTTGTCTGCCTCTAAAGCCTTGTAATGGGGCCACTCTGCTTAGTTCCCTGTCCTTCCCAAAAGCGTCTCCAGGGAGATGACCCTGAGCACGCTCCCCACCTGGTCACTGCTTAGGACTCTTGTTCCCCGGCGCAGCTCCTAACACGGCCACGAAGACACACGTGGCTCTTTAGCTGGGAGGCTTGCTCCTGCACGTCAATGACCCAGTGCCCACGATGACCGGCCGCCCTTGCCTGCCCTCCATCTGCTCCACCTACCCCAGAAAGTCCCCTAATCAAACCCTCCCAATCTACAGCAGCAAGGGGTGGTTAGGACAGCCCGCTGAGACCCAAGCAGAGTCAGCTGCCGAGACAGCTAACCACTGTGTTGAGAACTTCAGGGCCGAGTCCCCGGGATCAGTGACATCTGAGCTCTTAACCTCCTGTGCCTCCCACCTGTCTCTCCTGGCACATCTATCAGCCGTCCAATCAGCTTCCAGAGTGCAGGGCCCGGGCCTGACCCCGGAAAGCAGTGAGGGGTCCTGGGAGCGGACAGGACTACTCAGCCTGTGGCCAGGGGAAGCTTCTTGGAGGAAGGAAAAGCTACGAGGTGAGCCTAGTGATGGACAGGGGGAGGGGACAGAGTCTGAGGCAGACAACACGTGTGGTTTGAAGGGCCAAAAATCATGGAAAGAATTAGGTTTGGAACAAGGGTGAAGCAGAGAGGAGGCACTGGTGCGGGACAAAGCTAGGGGGAGAGGTGAACCCAGAGGGGGCGTGGCCAGGTCAGAGGGGCGTGGCCAGGCCAGAGGGGAAGGGCCTGATCAACCTGGGAAGGAGTCTGGGCCTCCTATTGAAAACAATAGGCCTGGAGTGCTGGCCTGCGCAGGCAGGGATGGTGTGCTCAGAATAGACAGTCTGGAAGGAGAAAGGAGAGAGCAGTCTGAGATATGTCAAGAAGGTAGCATCCACAGGACCTGGTAACTGGTGATGTCTGAGGGGGTGATTTACAACACCTTAAACCCATCACCCCATCTGCAATTGACTTTGTGGGAGCGAGGGAAGAAGTGGGGGTTGGGAAAAACCCTTTGTCTGCAGGCTGGAACTGGGTGGCTTCTACCTGGTCCCCACCGCACAATCTGGACCCTTTCCTGCAGGAGAGGAGACTGGTCCATGGCTCAGCAGCCTGGATGGCAGGTAACGGGCAGACTGGGCTGGGCGTGTGAACACGGCAGAAATAAAACCTTGGCCCTCTGAGCCCAGGGCCACCGAGAGTCTGACCTCTTTCAGCTTTGTGATATTTACTGCCAACCGTTTCACTGACCAGAGACTAGATCCAACTCCAATTGCAAAATGTAGACGCTTAATGCCAAATTTTTTTAAAAGAATAATTTAAGAACTTGGTTATTTTAGCCACAGAAAGCATCTTACTAATCTACCATCGTGAGGAAAACCGATGATGACTGCAGGAATGTGGTGTGGTGTGTGCGTGTGTCTCCCTGAAGATGATGCCATATTTACTTGTATTAAAATATAGTTAATATACAACACTATATTAGTGTTAGGTGTACAAAACAGTCAACGCTCATGTACCTAATAAAGTGATCACCACACTAAGTCTCCTAACCATCAGACAAGATTATCACAATATTGACAATATTCCTTATAGTGTACATTACATCCCCGTGACTTATTTCTTTCATAACTGCCAATTTGTATCTCTTATTTCCTTCACCTTTTTGCCCTTTACTATTATTTTTATTTAACTAATTAATTTGTTTTTGTTACAGATGTGTCTCCTTTTCTCCCCATTGACTGCCCTTTATTTTTAAAAAGCATGCAAAATGCGATCTGGTCAGCCGCTCTCTGCACACCCTGTCCATGACAGGTACTTATACACCCAGTGTTAGAACCACAAAGCTGTGGCCCTTCCTCTCCTGTTCCTTCCAGGTCTCGTCTTCCTTCCAATGAGCCCATGTGTCCATCCGCCTACTCTCCCTTTCTGTGTCTTCCAGAAAGGACAAGGAAAAGCTTCCTCAGTGACCTCGTTTTATTTTGAAACACAAAACCCACCAAAAGGGGAAGGACAAACGAAACAAAACTCACAACGCTCTTGGTCAAAGGGATCAAGATGGATTTCTCACGCTCTCGCCATATGGTAACTTATTTTGGAAGCATATCAAGAGGTAGAGAGAGTGTTTGACAAAATTGGCAATGCTCGCACAATCCCTTCAAATCAGACTGAATTCCCACTATGTACATTTGCTACAATGTTTCTATCCATCACATCAGCGACTGTGACCACAGGACATGTTACAAATACGGAGCCATTTTATCACCGTCTCCCAATCCCCCGTGCCCTGGACACCACGTGGCGTCGAGCTTGTCTGTATTTCACCCCCAGGAAATCAAGTCGTTAACTTCCCTTTCATTGACTGAGAGCGGTTGCCAGAAGGAAAATCATTCATCGGCCCTGACTTGTGGGAAGCAAGAGAGGGGGGCTTCTCGGGAAGGAGCGAGACAGCCAAGGAAGAAAGAGGGGAAATGGTCGCTTTGTTCTCTAGGCAGATGAAGGATGCCAAGTTCCCTCGGACACATCCCACCCCCGCGATCATTCAGGGGACTCGAGGAGCTCGTTCAGCCTTTTCCGTGCAGGTTAACAGGGCCCGTTTCTCTGTACCTGTTTGGCTGGTGGAGGGAGGTGCCAAGTTGCTGATGCCTCACCTGGGCTGCCGGGGTGGGGGTGGGGGGTACCTGGTGAGGAGGGAGCCCGGGAATCTATGTTCTTACCTTTGCATTCTTGACATCCTGTGCAGTTCCATGTCGTCGCTGCCCCGGAATCCTTTGGCAAAGGGATTATTCTCAATCTTCAGCTGGGTGATCTGAAGAAAGGAGAGAGTTGGTTTGCACATGATTGCTATAAGACGACCTCGGGACACGAGCGGAGACTGTGTTGCAGACACGCAGCTTCTAGCAACCTCCCCCCCACCCCCCCCCCCAAAAAAGCAAATTCAGCCAGCCCCATCAAAGGGACCCACCACTGGGATCAGGCGGAATGTCGTAGATCAGATTGCTTTTCAACAGAGGGAAAAAGCCAGGATTCGGTTTGCCCATTAATTAAAGTCATACCCTGCATCATTCCAGCCGGTTTGTTATTGTTGATTCATCTGAGCATTTTGTGTTCCAAACACCAATTAGGCCTCAACTGTGGGACACCAGCCCCCCCCCCCATCCCGCCTGTTGGCATCACACAGCGTGGCCATCTCCACTTGGGAGGGTCTGGTTATCCTTTCCAAGTCCTACGATGCCGCATTTCAGGTTCGTTTCATCGTTTCACAGGTAGGTCTTGCTAGCTCAGGTGGAAAACTGTGTCCAATTAAATAAACATCAACAGATGGAATGACAACTACATAATGGCTATCGGACAGTTTCCAAGCCTCTTTCGTTTTTTAGGTAAGCAAGAGACAGCCCTCTTCTCGGATATTTTTGTTGCCATGTACAACGTTTAGCAAGAGAACGGGGTTCTTGGTTCAAGGCCCAGAATTTTCATGTGAACCACCACCATATAGTCTGTTAGCACGAGAGCACGGTAGCTGAACCAGACGAGAGGGGGCCTCTACATGGCATTTGCTGCAGTGCTTTCTGGAGGCTGTGTGGGAATTAATTTCCACAAACTGAGTCACTCCATAGACACCACGGCGGCAGGCATCAAGGTGCGGCTGTTCACGTCTGGCCTTCCCCGTCACTGTCATATGTAAATCACACCTGGACACTGGTCTGTTCAATACGTTTACTGAAATCTATTTTACTTCAATTTATGTCATACAAAATATTATATGGCTTCTTTCTGGGTCCAACCAGAGTCACCTGCTATTCAATAGAAAGAAAACAGTTATATCCGATTCTCTCTGCTGGTCCTGCTTCCTCTTTGCTCAAGGGGAGATTAGACACCTTTCAAACAGTGTTCAAAAGAGCACCCGTTGGCCCTGGCTCAGCGGTTAGAGCGTCAGCCCTTGAACCAAAGAGTTGTGGGTTCGATTCGGGTCCAGGGCACGTACCTTGGTTGCGTCTTGTCCCTGGCCCTGGTTGGGGTTGTGCGGGAGGCAGCCAATCAATGTATCTCTCTCACATCGATGTTTCTCTCTCTTTCCCTCTCACTCTGTCTGAAAATAAATGGAAAAATATCCTCAGGTATTAAAAAAAGGGGGGGGGGACCAACTGAACTAAGACTGTCTCCCTGATTGCTGAAGAGAAAGATAATCAAAACAGAACAACTTTCTGTGATTCCATTATATTCGAGTAACTGCCCCCCCCCAAATCATCTCATCTACCCCCAGTGGTATAGTTAGAAACTTTCACAAACTCTGCACCAGGCGTAATTAATTTGTCCATCTGGAGGCAGGCATTCTGGTATGTTTTGTTTTCTAGAAGAGATGCTAATTAAGGTCTTCTAATTCCAGCACTCTATAATGAGCATAAAATTACTAAGTATGTAGATGTGTGTGTGTGTGTGTACGCATGATAGATATATGTGTAAACTGAATATTTTAAAAGCATGTTATATGATTCTGATCATCTGACATTTTGGAAAGGACAAAACCATGGCGACAGTAAGAAGATCGTGGTTGCCAGGTGCTGGGCCGTGGGGAGGGAGGGCGGTCTGGCAGGAGCGCGGGGAGGTTTAGGGCGGGAAACTGCTCCGTGTGAGACCGTGATGGTGGGTACACGTCATCAGACGTCTGTGCAAACCCACAGAACGCACGGCACCAAGAGGGAGCCCGCACGTAGACTGGAGTCTGGGTGACCACCACGTGTCAGTGTAGGTCTACTGATGGTAACAAATGTCCCACTCTGCTGGGGATGTTGGCAGTGGGGAGGCTGTGTGAGGGGGGGCAGGAGGTAAATAGCAAACCCGTGAACCTCCGCTCAACTTTCCTGGAAACCTAAAACTGCTATAAAAAAAAAAATCTATTACATTTTTTTAATATAGGGTGGGGCCAAAGTAGGTTTCCAGTTGTTCATATGGAACATAATACAATAACTTAGAAATAATAATACAAGCAGAAACTCTGTGCTTCGCATACTCACCACCGTAGACTTACTTGGCCCCACTCTGTACGTGTGGATATTAATGTGTACACATGTCCTTCACCCGCAGTTTCTAAAAAAATCGTACCCATTCCTGCCGCTTTCTGATTTTGACTTGACTCTTCAGAATGAGTAGAAAATAATACAAAATCCCTTTTGAAAAACAGTCTTTAAAATGTGCACGAGGGCCCTGGCCTGTTTGGCTCAGCCGTTAGAGCGTCAGTCTGCGGTCCAGGAAGACCCTGGTTCGGTTCCCGCTAAGGGCATGTACCTCGGTTGCAGTTTGTCCCTGGCCCTGGTTGGTCGTGTGGGTGGCAGCCACTCGATGTGTCCCTTTCACGTCGATGTTTCTCTCTCTCTCTCTCTGTCTCTCTGTCTCTCTCTCTCTCCCTCCCTCCCTCCCACTCTATCTGAACAAAAAAATGGAAAAAAATGTCCTCGGGTGAAGATAAAAATAAATAAATAAATAAAATAAAATGCACACGAGGCCAGTTCTGTTTTGAGTCTAAAAGCCCATCACCTAGTGGGGCTCTCTTTCCCACTCAGGTTTTGTCACAATAAAATGCAACCCGCTTGACCATAAATTACGTTTTTAAAAAGGAGGGGGTTCTCCAAACGTTGAGTAAAAATTAGACCACTGAAGATCTAATGAGAAAACTAGATGTGTGTCCTGACCGGCGTGCTCTGTGGTTAGCGTGTGGGCCCGCGCGCCGGAGGTCGAAGGTTTGATTCCGATCCAGGGTATGTGCCTGGGTTGGGGCACCAACCGATGTCTCTCTCTCTCTCTCCTCTTTCTCTCTTTCTCTCTCCCTCCTCCCTCTCTCCCATTCCCGCTAAAAATCAGTGGAAAAAATATCCTCGGGTGAGGATTAATCAAAAAAAAAAAGACAGAAAAAATTAGATCTTGCACTACTCATTCCTTATGTCTCCCTTCCCCACAGTCCCTGAGGCCAGTCCCCGAGAGTACTGAAGACAAACGGGGTGTGGCCTCAGGTCGGAACTAATGCCCAGTCCACCATGTCACCGCTCCACCAGGAGCTCAGGACACAAACACTACCCGAGGGAAAAAGAAAAGGGTGGGTTTTGATATTTCCTCAGACCAAATGTTTTGCTCAAACCCACTGCCTGCACCTCAGTTTTCTGCCACCTCATTCTTGCACCGTCACCACGGCCTGCAGAACCCCGACTGCACAGGGCAGGCACGGTTTGCTCTGGACGCTGAGCGGTGCTGCTCTTACGGAGTCTGGCTTTGGAGACCTCATCTAGATGCCTACAGGCCGTAAGAATTACCCTTGAGAACTGTTCACATGCCAGCTTAGCTGCAGGTGACAGTGTCTGTCTTATTTCATATATGCCTGTCTTATTTCGTCATAACAAAGTCATCTTTATTTTGATCCACACAGTAACCCTGTTTTTTGGGGTTTTTTGAATCCTCACCCGAGGACACTTTTGCATTTATCTTCAGATAGAGCAGGAGGGAGAGAGGGAGGAAGAGAGAGACACATCGATGTGAGAGAGACACATCGGGTGGTTTCCACCCACACGACCCCAACCGGGCCAGGGACAAACTGCAACCAAGGTACACGCCCTTAGCAGGAACCGAACCCGGGTCTAACTGCTGAGCCAACCCGGCCAGGGCCATAATAATAACCCTGTTCTTGACTTTCTCTTTTCACACATCGCGTATGGGCTAGGTCACTCACGGGCACGCAAACACACAAACAGATACACTGCGATGTCTGGGCTCCACCCAAAGGCTCCCCGAAACCGATTTCCACTCATCCTACACATGCACTCCCTCTGCCGTGAGCAGAGAACCGGATATCCGGGGGAGGGCTGGGGGAGGGGGGAAATACAAATATAAATGCCAGCTCCAACCAGGGAGACAGAGGTTGTAAAAATTAATGAGAATAATTGTTGTGAATTCTTGCTTTTGAAAAAAAAAAAAAAAAAAAAAGCAAAAACCCTCACGAGGGCCAAAAATCTTAATTATGTCTCTCTATTAGGGGTTCATTTCCTGGTCCCGACCAGCAAGCTCATACCTCATAAATACAGGCTCCTTTGCACAATGATTTAAGCAGGAGGAAAATGCCTTTTAATGGCAAAGTAAGTTAATATCGGGGGACAGGCATGCGCGCATACATAGCCATTGTCGCAAGAGCAGGGGAATGGGAAGCTCACGTGACCTTTTTTTAACACCTAAATATTTCTAGGGATTGCTCCCGGAGCTGCTGACAACCCCAGGGAGAGACCTTACAAAAACGCGTTTCACAGAGCAAACGTCGCTGGGGAAGATTCGAGTTTTTAAATATCTTTTTCAAGCTGTCAACCATCTGGGGAAATAACCCCCAAATCCAGCCCGGGATCGCAGCTGGGCTGAGGAAATGCACTGCGCCATTAGCAGCCCGTGTACACCGGTGTGTGACCGCAGCCTCAGCAATGAACTCGGCCGCATGCCCGCGTCCACCTGGTACCCGCGACCACGCGGAGATCCTTGTGACCACCGGGCCCTTTCACCCAGAAACAAACGGTGGCTCCCACGTTCCCTAATTGCCCTGGCAATGGGGTCACGCAGACCGCCTGTCTTTCCCCGCTCCCTTGTCTAAAGCACGACGCTGGGCAAAGGGTCCCTACACTGACGACATGCTCGGGCGCATGAACGAAGCCCCAAAGACTAACCTTGGGTGGTTTCGCGACCACAGGCATAGGAACTTAATGAAAATCTCAGTCTTTCAGATTCTGAACGAGGCAGGGCAGGAGTTTTCCAGAGCCTGCCTGCGTTTTGGATGGAGCTGCCCTGGAATCAATCGATCAGTGACCCAGTCGGTCAGTGGAATGGTCACTAACACCCTGTGCTCACCCCGTGCCGGGGTCTGCTCTCCACACTTCCACGGAGGAACTCCTGGGATCCTCACGACGATACTAACGGGTCATCTTTCACTATCCCCATTTTACAGATGGGGACAGCTGAGTTAAGCAACGAGCTGGAAGTCAAATGGATTTCAACGCGGAGTCCCACTAACCCCGCGGAGGAGCTCAGGTGGCTTCTACCCAGGAAGTCAGGGGTCTTGACACCCAGCCCAGGTGGCACCATAAAGTATCGAGACAGAGTCCACAAATCACACTCGGGCTGGCCCGCCGATTTAGGTCACACATCATATATCCACATGGGGCACGTTGGCAGCACCCCTGGACTCGAACGGGAAAACTGTACTGCTGCAGACTTTCTCCTGACAAAGAAGGTAGGTGCCTGGCACACCCCACGACTGCAAAGTGGGGGGAACCTCCCAGCGAGGAGAGTGACGCAAAGTTGTCTCCCGTGAAATCCCCCTTTCAGACGTCAGGCTGGTGAAAGACCTGTCTGTGCCGTGTAACCGAGTCCCCTGAACCAACCAACACAGGAAGAGAAAGATTCCCGTGTGTGGTCGTCAAAGGCACAAACACCCACATGCGTATTTGGAGATGCACACTGTGGACCCGTGAACATTTAGACACCGACCCCTAAACTCTGCTGGTCACGCACGCGCACACAGCCCGCGGGACAGCCATGCCTTCGTGCAGGGACACCGCGAAATACGTTCATTGGAAACATTTTTTCAGCAGAAATGTGATGGGGCACACAGCTATCTCATGATGATGCCGTGCAGCTGAAGTGTGTATAATGTTAGTAACCAATGTAACCCCAATAAATCGAATGTTTAAAGATGAAGAAAAAATAGAAATTTGGAAGGTGTTGGGTATAGTCACAAGTGGTTATGGTGCTAGTTTCCTCAATAAAGCTGTAAACACACACACACACACACACACACACACACACACACACACGGAGAGAACTCCCCCAGATCTACGCATGCCCCATGGACACAAAAATGAGGAATTTCCCCCAAAGGATCTGACCATCCATGCGTTTCTTTAGCAGGTCACTGTCATGTGTCCACCACTTCCTGTCCTTTCTGTATGAACCTGGGCTTTGTTGAGGGGGGGAAATATGATATATTTTTGGAGCCTGTAAGCATATGTATATATGGGAAGGAGCATCCTCGCTGCTGTTTTTTCCAGGCCCTGTGACTGTCACCGCGGTTACACATGGTGTACAGCGCGACAGGGGGAACAGGTTGCCAGCGACCAGACTCAAATGAGCCCGAAACGGTTGTGCAGTGTTCAGGGTCCTCAGTCTTCATGTTTTTGTTCTTGTCGGCTCAACAGATGGGGACAACCCAGCCAAATCCTCTTTCCTCCTCAGAAAGGAACTGCCTTTTGGGGAGAGCGAGTTCTCTCCTGGAGGGAAGCTCTCTCGAGACTTGGGTTCCCAGACAGGCCTGTGGCCTAGAAGGGACCATCCATCACACCTTGGCCCGCTCGCTGACAATCTGAATTTGGAGATGACCCCACAGCATCTTGTAACCACCCTGGCCTCACCAGGGGGCTGACCTGACACCCAGTCCAGGCTGGAATGACCTCCACGGGGTGACTGGAGGCTGCAGGGCCCTTTCACCCTACTGGCCTCTCCTGCCTGGTTCTGCAGCCCCTGTGACTTCCTTATCTTGCAGGTGGGGCCAGGAGCTGTGGAGGGGGAGGGGCAGCACCATTCCCAAGTCCATTTCCTTCCGTTGTCCACGTGACCCACCCTCTCGGATCCCATACGGGACCCTCTAACCCCATATCACTGCTTCATACTCTGAACAGTCTACAGCCCACAGTGGCTGCGGCCCCTCCCAGCACCCATATCTTGCCTTTACAGACTCCAGCTCTCTTCATAACAAGCCTTAGGAATCATTCAGTCCTGCCCCGACCCCAGGCAATGAATCCACGCGCCCCGGGGTTTCTAAAGAACAGACATAGACCATGACACGTCAAGACAAGCCCTCCTCCTGAGGAAGAATGGAGGACACTCCCCAACCTGTGGTGATGCGGCGCCTTATTCCAAGGTCACTGTCAAGCTTTGAAATGCCAACAGCATAGGATCTGACACCATCACCTCCGGCCCAAACTGCAGCCACCTTCTCCCCAAGCACACACTGACTGCGAGCATGACCCCCTCACCCTCACCGAGCTGTGGTTCTGCAGGACCCTATCGAAGTCCTGGGAGCGGAGATCTAGGCTGCTGGTGGCACAGCTTGCTCAGTTTTGTTTTTGTTTTTGCTTTAACAATGCAAACCTTGCTTTAGCATGTGATGGGTGGGGGAGGTGGATCAGAAATCCCTGAAGCCCATTAGAGAAGCATGTGGAAAATCCAAGCCCAAGGTTTCCGGCAACTGTGCCACCTGCCCCAAGTGGAGTTGAAAGGCATCCAAAAGGCAGAGTGGACGGAGGGGAGGAGACAGATCCCAACAGAACAGTGGCCCCAGGAAGGGTGGCCCCGGGCTCCCACCCAAGAGCACAGGGTCATGCAATAAAGTGACCTTTTTCTCACTGATCATTTCTTGAGGGTGGTGGGATGTCTCCTTGTTGTAGTTGAGTGTGCGGACATCTGTGGTTTGATAACTGTGTTTCTAACTGGGGTGCATGAGAGAGAGAGAGAGATGCCAAACCCCTGAATATAGTACAAAACAGCTATGATCCTTGGGCTGGAGCTCTGTCCCAGGCCCAGCCGCCCGGGCAGGGGTGCCCGCTGTATAGACTCAGCAGCCCTAAGCCTGGCGTTTTCATAAGAGACCCTGCAGAGCCCTGCACAGGAGCCAGCAGCGCCAGACACTCGGTTCCTGGGTACTGGGCTTACCTTGTGATTCTGGTAGGAAGTCACCGCGATAAACGCCGTCTCAGGAAAGACGTGGGTGCAGAAAGCAGTATTTTTTGAGCCAAATCCATTATTTTCGTCCGCTTTCACGATGTGTAATCTGGGCTGGTATTTGTGCATGGAATTTAGGATAATCTAAAAATAATAAAGAAAATGAGATTGTAAGAAAAATGAAAACCCCTTTGTTTCCAGATAAAACCCTGCTCTCCGCCCCCCAAAATTAGCCTCCCCATCTAGGCTCTCGAAAAATAGTCCGATTTTTTTTTCCCCTCCTGTTTTGAAAAGGGTCCAGTGATTTCATTAAAAAGAAACATTTCAAAAATGACAATTTCCAACCGAAAAAGCCAGGGTAATATTCCAGGAATCTACCCAAAGCACACACGGCAGTAAATCAGAATTCTTAATAAAGTTTGCTTAATAAATTAACTCCCTGCGTAGGGCACTTTCGGCCCCCAACGGGAGCAAAGCAAGTCTGGAGCAAGGAACTGGCGCCCCCAGAAAGCCTGGGTGACAATTTTTGGAGTTAAAGGAGAGAAGGAACAAACAAACAAACAAACAATCAAGCATACAAATACCTCTCCCCCGCCCCCAAAGAAAAACAACGACTCTAAGAGATGCAAAAGAAGGCGCCAAGCACTTGCAGAACGGGAATAAAAATCAGGGGCTTGGCCCTTTGGAGAACGTGCTAAGGGTGAGAGTCAGTGAAAAAAAGAAGATAATGGGGTGAGGGGACTCTGAGGAGGGTGAGATCGAGAAGCACCCTCCCCCCCCTTCACCATCAAACAAGGGACTGGTTGCCCTGAAGCTTCTTTCTCCAACGTTATCAACATTTCAGGATCCACAACCAGAATTATCTCCAGACGTGGCCCCAGACAGAACTGCTGCACCGACTTTCCTGGGAATGTTCTGTCTCCTTCCCTTCTGTCTCCGTGTTTGGGGTGCTCCTAGGGAAAGCGGGTCTGGCTGCTGTGCTGCCCTATTCCCACCTCTAGCACCGGTATTAGGAGGGGCCTCCAGGCGCACGATCTGGCGGGAGCAGGGCTCTGAGGCGGCGAGCATCCTTACTAAGAAACTGGGGTCGTCGCTCTGATGACGCCTGGGTTTGGATGTTCCGGGAAGGCTGTGGCCGCTAATATTTACCAAAAGGTTCTGATCTAGACCCACCGAACGGGGCGAATCGCCGCGTTGAACGCTGGAAACCTGGCCTGCCTTTTCCCCAGGACCGAAGGCCGCCGTGGCGGAGGCTGTCTGGGTGTCTTTAATTATTTGCATTGATGACCCTGGGGCAGGGTTCTCCGGCCAACCCTAGAGACCCGGCGGGAGGAGAGGGAGGGCCCCCGGGCTCCCGGATCCCGGCTGCGCCGCTCTAATCTCGGGCCTACGCAGCCCGGCCGCCTGCCTGACCGATAGCGACACTGGCCGGGGCGGCGTGGCGACAGAGAGACGCAGCGGGGAGACGCAGCGGGGCCCGCGGGCCGCCGCAGCCCCCGGCCGGCGCGGCCATCGTCCCGGCTTAGCCAAATTGCTTTGACGGCCAGGGACAATGTGGAGACTTCAGCGCGAGGGCGATCTAATGGCTCCTAATTTCATTAGGGCGGCTCAGGACTCCAAGTCCGGAGTTTGGGGTGGGAATGCGGGGCAGCGGGGGAGCTCAGAGCACTCTAAAGGACCTGAGACCCCCACAGGTGCCCGCAGCTGGGGGGCTGGGGGGCGCTGCACACCTTCCCCAGGTGTCCACCCCCGCATGACCCCAAAGGTGCTCCCAGAACCACAGAGAGAAAGCTAGGATACAAATTGGGGCCAGAGGACAGTCCCGCTCCCTGCCACCAAATCCCACGCAGGTCCCCACAACAGCGTCCCAGCCTCCAGAGAGAAGGCCAAGCAGCCGGAAGGTACATGTGGGGCCTGCACAAAGTAGTCCCGGCTCTCCCCAGCCCGTCATCTAAAGGATCGGCTCAGTACCCGCAGTACGACGCCCACGCAAGCCTTTCGGTTCTGGGGTGCGCCAGCTTGCAGGACGCTGCAGACCAAACACCCAGCTTTAAACGGAGAGGGGACCTGCATTGTGTTTTCCCGTAGAAACGGCCCCTCTGCACCCTTCTGAGCGCTCCGTCAGCAAGGGAACCGGCCTTTCTCCTCTCTGCTCCAGTGGCCAGCGGTCCAGTCTCCCCGCCAGCCAAGGGCTTTGCGCGCAGCTGTGGAGCGCCCCGCTGTCCCCTTCCCACAGGGACAGATTTCTCATTTGGACCTTCACAAACTGACCTCCCTCCTGGTAGAACCCATTCCCACCCAGTCCCCTCGTGTCCCCAAACCGGGGACCATGTTTCTGTCCATTCTGTCTAGAGAACATAGCAGGACAGGGAGCACTTTTGTAATTAGAGACCTAGCCTCAAATCCTCTTCCCAAATACAAGCTGTAGGACCTTGGGCAAGTCCCCTCCCCTCCCCAGCAGCTGCGTACTGCTGGCCTCCAGGCCCCCTCCCCAGGCTGCTGTGAGGGTCCAAAGCTTTATGACCAAGTGGCCACATGGATAGTGGTAGCACCCAGCTAAGGGTGCTAAACACTGGATTCAGAGTCTATGTTCTGTCCTGTTGATGAATTCTTTCTAGCAATGAGTTTTGGGGATATTTTCCTAAAAATCAGTGTTTGGTTCTCCATTTGTTGTTCTTTAGGGAAGAGAGGGCGATGCCCTTTGGAGCATTTGCTAAAAGTGACACGTGTCTGGGAGGCTGGGCGTCTGCACACTCATATCCTGTATGCAGTTGCAGAGGGTTCCCCGGGACCCTGGCCCAGGTTTGCCTGCTGGGGACATTGTTGGGGGAAGAGAAAAGTTGGAAGTTTGGGAGAAAAAAAAAAACAGGTCTGCCCAAGAGTATCCAGCTAGAAGGAGCAGGGGCACCAGAGTTGGCCTCTGGTGGGGAGTTCTGCCCATCTGTGACAGAGGGGGCAGGTGCCCTGGGGACTCCGTCTCAGCTGGAACCTCCCAACACTAAGGCAGGATTCGGAGGGGGTGGGGGAGGTGTATGGCTCCCACCCGGTCTGGTCTCTGTGCCCTCTGTGCTGGGTGCCCCCTGGGTGAGTGTGACCATGATTTTTTCTGTAGGACTGAAACACAGCCCCACCCCTAGTCACAGATGGGACTGGGGCACAGACCCAGTTCCCAGCCCCAGCATCCAGGCCCGGAATGTGCCACTTCTGTCACTGTGACCCCTGTCCCTCAGCAAAGGCAAAGGCTGGCGGGGACGCAGTGTGAGCCTAGGCCAGAACTGGGGCCCCATCTCCATCCCCCCCAACAACAGATCAGACTGTGGGACAGTGGACCACAGGGAGGACTGCAGAGGGGCAAATGTCTCAAGGGAGAGAGGTGGGAACAGAGAGAAGAGGGACAGTGGAAAGCTGGTAGAAAGTGAGAAATAAGGCACAGCAAAGAGGAGAAAGGCGGGGCAGATCCAGAGACCAGGGGCACAAAAAGACTAAGGAAGTGAAGTAAACAAAGCGAGGAAAGGAGCTGGTGGGTTCAAGAAGCCAAGGAGAGAAGGAGAGAAAGAGAGAGATGGACCTGAGGATGCCAGGCTGGGCTGCGCCAGGTACTTACATGCCCAAATGGGTCCAGGTGGTTGTTGGTGAGCTTGAGTTTCTGGAAGGAGACGAGCTGCCGCATCCAATGTGCCCCAGTGGCCGGCGAGTCTGGGTGCACGTACAGGCGGCCGGGCATGGCAGGCTCCGCTTTGCCGGTCACCGACCTACACCAAGGAACACCCCGCCTTAGCGCACCGTGGAGCTGGCCGGTCCCGCGCCAGGCCCAGACTGCTGAACGTGAGAATGATTTGGAAATGGCCTGACCCTCAGGTCTCCCTTGTCCCGCGCTGGTCTCCAGACGAGCTACCCTCCCTGGCTCTTTTTCCTTCCTCCTCATCCCTCCCCCAGCACCAGGGGCGCGCTGGGCCTCACAGCTTCTCGCTGCCCACAAACAATTGGCGGGTTCTGGGAGCCTCGGTGTGCAAAAAAAGTCATGGAAAACTCCTCGAGGGCTTTCAAAGGGGGCTTCCTCGTCAAGCCCCTGTACTCTTGGCAAGGGAATGGGCCTCTCCTCTCCGCTCTTGCCTGTTTTACTCAAATACCACGGGCCGATTTTGCAATTTCATAAAAAGGCATGTTCAAAGCGGGTAACTCATAAAAAGTAACTGTAAATGGTTTTATACCCCCAAATACCTCCAGCACTTGGTAACAATACCCTTTTTAAAAATCGGCAACCCGCGGGGGCAGCAGTAGACACATGGGCACTTTCCCCCTCTGGGCCTCAGTTTTCTCGTCTCTAAAATGGGGGCTAATGGCTACTCTTTCTCCCTGTCAGAGTGAGGTCAGGGGATGCGACCGGATGGGCGGCAAAAGCATCCCCTGCACAGGAGGAGCTAACCCTGCGTCTGGGTCCGTGGGGAGAGCGCCATCCCCACCTGCGGTCCGGGGCCTACCATTTATTATCTGCAAACTTGTATCTGTGGTCGTCAGCCGGGACGATGTCCATGAGGAGAATGTACTTCGTTTTGGGATTAAGGCCAGTCACCTTCACCTTGTAACTGGGAAACATCCGCCTAAGAGAGAGGCGAAGGAGGAAGAATCCAGACAGAGAGGGAGGGAAGGAGAGAGAGAGAGGGAGGGAGAAATGGGGGGGGGATTAAAGCTAATATACTGAAGAGCAAGGCCACACATTTCAAAAGATTCCTTTAGAAACGTGGAAAACAACAGTGGCCCCCACTCCGCGCTGGCCCTGATCCACCCCGGGTTTCCCTTGGAGTTCCGGGGAGGAGGAAGGCGAAGAAACAGGCCGGCTGGCGACTAGGTCTGGGCAGAAAATAGAAACCAGAGGCAGAGCTCCTGGAGAACTGGTTTTGAAGAAAACCCGCGTGGGACCCCCATTTCCACCCTTGCTTCATGCCCTTTGCAGAGCCAGACACCTACTTTTTAAATTGGGGGCAGGAGGAGGCTTCTTGGGTAAAAAGCTGGCTTTTCCCTCCACCCAGCCAGGTGCCTTGGCCGCTCTGGGCATCACTGCCAGGTCACGTGGACACCAAGGTGTGTGTACCTTAGGGACCGAACACACGTGGGTGCCCACACACGTCCTGCCCTGGCTTCAGCCCTCCGCCCCAGAGGATACTCGGGTGGTGACCTCCACCACGAATCTCGCGGGCACTGACTCCTAAATGCCCCCCATGTTCTCCAAGGCGCTCTGCCTTGGACAGCCTAAAATCTCCGTTCCTCGGCAAAGAAATTCAAAATCCGTCCAGATTTGGTTGCAGAAAGAGGAGCGGGTGGTTGGGAAAGCGATGCCCAGACCCGCGTGCGCTGCGCCCACTGCCTCTCCGCGCACAGGCGCGCCCCGAACTCCCGTCCCACACGGGAACGCTGCGCCCTGGCAAACAGGCACTCCCGAGGCTGGCCGGGGTGAAAGGGTAAGGGGCTGGATCCCAACCCGCTCAGGGATGGCGGGAAGGGGTGAGTGGCGGCCTCTCCCTCAAGCCTTTGAGCCGAGGCCTCGGTGTTTATCTGCCCGAGCGCGCGCGCCCAGAGGCGGAGGGACGGGAGGCCGCGCAGGCCTTTTATAGTTAAATCCTCTCGGCTCAGGCTCCGGGGAAGGAGGCCCAGGCCAGGCTTTCCTTCCCGGGCGGAATGGGAAGAAAACCTTCGTTCTCTGGTATAAACAGAACGCGCCTCCTAGTTCACCCAGGCCGAGCGGGGGAGCAGACATTGTTTAATTTCAAATAATAATAAATGTCACTGTTGTCAGTTTATTGCGGGAGGCTTCGGGCTGGAGAGCCGGGGGCGTCTGGAGAGGCGGCTCCACCCTCCCCCTTCACACACTCAGCGGCTCGGGCCTATCGGCCTCTCTGGCTTCCTGCGCCCGTTTTGGGTCAGCGAGGGGCTTTCTGCCCCTCGGCACGCGGAGGGCCGGTGCGGTATGGCTGGCGAAGTGGCCAGGCTGTGCCCAGGGCTGGGCACCCGAGCGAGCGCGCACTCAGACACCGAGGTGCAGAGCTGGCCGGTCTCCCGCCCCCTCCCCCAGAAGCTTAGCGTTTCTGGCTGCAACTCCGCGAGCTTTAAAAAGGAACTGCAGGGTGAGTCTCTCGGCGAAACTGCCGTGTTTATCGGTGTCTGTATATAGAGCCCGGCCGAGCCCCGGCTCAGTTTCAAAGGCTTCGCCTGCTTTCTATAAACAATGGAAGAGGTAGCGAATACATTCAGCGATTCAGACTTGGGCAATCGGGCGGAACTCTGGAACCACTCCAAGGTCAGGGAGGGTGGGAAGGAGGATGGGGGCGAAGGATCGAGACTGAAACCTGGTCTCATCTCTGAGTCCTCTCTGCACCTCTGTTTTCCGTTCTCTCCCCCCCGTCTCTCTCTCTCTCTCTCCCATTACTAATCCGTCCACACAGCACAGCCTCCGAAGCTCTTGGTTCTCCTTATGTAAGTGGTGGAAGAAATGCCCAGTTGGAAGAAATACGTGTTTCCGCAGTTGACCCTTCCAGGTATTTCTCCCACCCTAATGGAGATCACTGGAGGAATTCTCTGACCCTCTTTCACCAGAATCCAGTCAAACAAAATACAGTCTAATATCTCTCTGGCTCTCCTTTCTCTTCTCCCCCAGACACCTCCTCTTCTCTCTCACCGCCTCTCCATTACACCTCCACAGAAGCCCGGACTCACCTTCCAGCCTTGGTTATGATCATTTCTGTGCCCACTTCATGGAATTTCAGCCACAGTTCTCTTTCATGGAGAAACACCTTGATCCCTTCCATGCCCTAGAGGGAGGAGAGAAAGTCACACAGACAAGCCCAGAGACCGTGGGCCTTGGTTCCCCAAACTGCCCCCAAACACACAGACTTCTCCTCCTCCCCTCTGGAGCTAGTGGGCTCAGAGGCTGAAAACTGCCCCCAGCCCCACTGCAGAGCCTCCTGGGCTCTGGAGCCCCGGCAGCCCCTGCCCGGGAATCCTCACATATGCTCCATGGTGGGGGTGGGGGGAGGGTCTCTTTCTAATGTCACCTACACAAGACTAGAGAAACAAACAAACAAACAAACAAACAAAAAACTGGCCATGGGGTGCTCCAAAAAGTCCAATGTGGGGATGGGGCTGAGAAAAAAAATGAGACCAGTCTCAATCCACTTTAGCCAGAATGCAACTAAAGAGAAAAACCCTCAATCTGGAAAACCCACTTGGATATTTTCATGGCGACTCCTATGTCCACACGCAAACATACAGGCGTGCAAATACTGTACGTGTGCGTGTTTATTCTCACCATGGTGGCACAATAGAGACACAGGTGCGACTTTAAATGTAAAAATGTGTATGGTGACAATAGGTTGGCGCAGTCCAAGACAAAAATGAATGCTCAAAAGACCAGATTAATAAACTCTCTAGGCCTCCCCCCACCTAGCCGCCTTCACTCAAGCCGTTTTAATTATGAGCACAGCTTCAGCCATGTAACATCTCTGCTTTTAACTAAGAGTTATTTTGCAAAAGTGATCCCCCCCCAAAATTATACTCCACGTCTTCGTTTCGGAATAATCTCTAAAGGAGTGAATTTGCTCTTCTAGAAAAAGAGAAAAAAGCATCCACGTTTCCAAAACGGCGTGCCCCCTGCTCTCTCGGCTTCTCTACAAATAGGCATCTTTTCCTGAGACCCGCGAAGGGCAAAGTAGAGAGGCGATGAACTAGCCGGGAAGGACAGCGAAATCCCCAAGAAGGGTTTTAGCTTTGTCCAAGTATCTCTTCTGGTTGAGTCACCAGCTTCGCGCCATCTGACAGCTTATTTAAAACCATCGAGGTCTACAGGGGCCGCCAGGCGCCCAGTGCACCGGGCCCAGTTTCCAGCCTGGCGAGCCCGAGGCTCCCTGCGCCCTCTCGGCACAGCCGTGCGCGCCAGCCGGCCAGGCCCCAGCGCAAGACAAATGGGGCCCCGCGCGGGTCTGGGCGGCGGCGCGGAGGAGGCGGGCGGAGGCGAAGGCTACGGAAGATCTGAAGAGGGGTCAAGCCATCGCTCATGCTGGCCTGAAGCGGCCGCTGACCTGGCCCTTAATGAGGAACTCAGGGCCCACTCTACACCTAGTGCATCGGGAAAGGAAGGATCTGGGTTCTTGTTAGCTGCCCCCAAATAGCTGGGCAATGAAGGCTTCTCTAACAACTTAAATGCATTTCAAAAATCCTCCTGCCATAAAGATATTTGTAATAAAGTGGATTGGAATAAACTAGTATTTGGGGAGGCAGGGCAAAGGAAGGTGTGAGTGGGGATAAAAAGGAAAGGGGACAATTAGGGGCAGTGGGTAACCAATCCCACCTCCCCCGCAAGAAGAGCTTTGGTTTCTTCCGAACGCCCCTAGGCGCAGGTCTCCTTACCTGCTGGGTGAAGGCGGCCTGCGGGGACGACGGGGACTTGCTGGGGGCCCCTAGCGCGCTCTCCGGTTTTGAGTCGCAGGGTAGATCCTTTGAGTCAGGTTCCAGGGGTGTATGCGCCAGGCCAAAGCCCTCGTCTGCGTCGGCCATGGTGTACCCGGGGCCCTGTGACCGCACGGGCTCCTGAACTGTGGACAGGAAGCAAGGGGAGGGGGGGGGAGAGAGAGAGAGAGAGAGAGAGAGAGAGAGAAAGAGAGAGGGGGAGAAGGTTGGAGGAGCAGTTCAAGTAACAAGAAGGAGCACTTAGAGCCCCCTTCCCAGCAACCAACACCTCTGTTCCCAGCTGAAGGAGGCTGCAGAAGGTCCCCTTATTATTATCATTACTATTACTTTATGATCACGCACAACCTCTTGCGCAAGACCCGCGTCAGACCCGGAGGAGGCGAGGCCCGCATCTCCCCTGCGCAGGCTCCCCGTGATAAGCCAGCTGCCCGTCAAATTTGTCTGGACTTCTGGAAGAGCCAATAAAGATAAGGCCAGGGTATTTTTGGAAGCCATTGGGTATGAACCAAAAACAAAACAAAAACCTAGTGTCCTTTGGAGAAAGAAAATGTTTTCTTCGTCGAATTACAGGAGGTCGTCAGAGCTGTGTCTAGGAAAACTCGAAAGCGCAATAGTTTTGAGCAGCAGGCAAAATGTCTGAAATAACCCGCCTCTTGCAAAACCAAAAACTTAGGAGGGGAAAGATTTGCAGATCGAGAGACCTGTCCGAAAGGGAATTCACGTTCATCGCTGATCAGTTGCAGGCCTTAAAATGAGAAGTCCTTTAACAGTAAGAGTCCTTCCCTTTCGCCCAACCTTAAGTAACGTTAAAAAGCAAAAAGACAGCCAGGCTTCTGGAAAGCGCGGGGCAGCAATTCCGAGGCAGTCTCGCTACTGGGTGCCGGTGGCAGGCGCTCTGCCGCCGCCCGGGGCGCGCGCGTTCCCTCCGGCTTTCTCTACTCTCCAGCCCGGGTCGGGCATTTTGTTGAACGGCCAGGCCACAGGGAGCTTCTCCGAGCTCCGGCTGGGCCTAGCTCGCTGCAAGCGCAGGCCCAAGCTGGGCATTGGCGAAGACAAAATGGGTCCCCGCAAAATCCTGGGCTTCTGGCATGGAATCGGCCGCCTCGGTCCCAGGCAGCGCGCAGAATGGTTCGGGTTTGCAGACAGAGGACGTGGGGATACACAAAATAGCAGCTGCAGAGCTGTTCAAACCCGGATGAGCCAGCCTCCTGCTCTGATCTCCTTCCAATCTCTGGTACGTTCCCAAGGAGGGATTTCCTCCCTGGAAACCCGGGAAGATGGAACAAGGCGCAAGGGATGGCTCCCCAGATCTCAGCAGCTTCTCGAGCAAAAGGCCAGATCTCCCCCTGGTCTGCAGTGACTGCAGACCCAGAAATGGGGGACGAGGACAGCTGCTGAGGCCCCACTCCCAAGAGCTCCCCTCACCACACCCTTAGGGTTTTCGGGAAGTAGTGGCTGGAGCCCGGCAGGCGCTCACAACAAAAGATAGGCGGCCTGGCGCCCCCCACGTGCGCTCCCGTGCACCGCCGGCCACGGGGATAATCCCACCCCGCGCCCTCGCCAGGGTCGCGGGGAGCTCAGGGCTGGCGCCGGCGAACGAGATACGGTTTGACAGAACCAGGCCGCGCGTCCTAGAAACCACGCCGCTCCCCCGGCCGCGCTGCCTGCTCAGAGCTCCGGGCCCGGGAAATCCCTGCGAGCCGGACTCTGCAGAATCCAAGGCGAGGCTGCAGGGCGGGCGGGCGCGCCTCCCGGAGCCCATTCGGCCGGCGGGCTCCCACCCGAGCCTCCCGGGCCATCCTCGGGCAAGGTTACCTCGCTCGGTGAAGCCGGTGCATTCACCACATCCCTTGTGCTCCTAGAAGGGAAGCCGGCCGCGAGGCGGGGGCGCCGGCATGGTGGCTCCGGGTTTATGCGGGAGACTGCCTGCCCAGACTAGCTGCGGCTACTGCTGCCCACAAAGGAGCACCCACCGCTGGAGCCTCAGCAGCCACGGGCCACCTCCAACACACACCTCCTCCGCTCTGCGCTGCCTTCTCCCTAAAGACTTCCAAGTTGTCAGGCGCCAGAAGGGCTCCGAGTAACGCAAAACAGCAGCCTCGGGGCACCCTCAATAGGGTAAATGCAGTGGCCTGCTCCTCCCTGGAAGCCCCGGGGAGGGAAAGTTGGGAGACCAGAGGAAGCCGTGGGAATGGTCCAAGTCCTCTCTGTGTGCCGCTTTCAGGGTTAAAGTTCCGGAATCCGAGGTAAGATATTTCTCTCTCTCTCTCTCTCTCTCTCTCTCAGAAATACAAGCCGACTCAGCTGAGCTCAGTGACGTTGGGCTGCCTTGATGCTTACAAAGTACTGGAATTGCCTATCCAACTAGCTCCTTCTGCGCTGCCTCTCTCTCTCTCTCTCTCTCTCTCCCTCTCTCTCTCTCTCCCTCTCCCCCTCTCCCTCTCTCTCCCTCTGCCTCCCTCCCTCCCTCCCTATTCCTTCCCACTCCCTCCCCCAACCACATTTTCCATTAGATTTCCCGAACACTCACATCACAACACGACTCTCAAACCCAGACCTGGAGATCACCCCCTCCTCTCCACCCCCATCCCAGCGTCCATCCATCTCTGCTGCTCTGAGTGCGGCTCGGTGGCTGCAAAAATTCCTGCACAAATCATCGCAAACCAGTCGGCTTCTGCCGGGGAAGTCATCTCGGTGACGCGGGCCGTGCAGAGAACAGAGTCTGAACGCAGGACGCGTGCACACACACGCCGCGTGTGCCTCTGCAGCCTCACCCGCGTTCTCTCTCCGAGGCTGACCTCAAGACAGAGGGCTCCGTGACCCCGCCTGGCCCAGCCGGCCGCAGCTAGCCGCCCTGACATCTCTCCCCCTCCCCACTCATCACCCAGACTCTCAGTGACTCCGGGGTGAAGGCAGGGTGAAGGTGCGTTGGGATGGGGGCCGAGATCAAAGATGCCAAGAAATCGCCATTGGCCCCCACCCCAGAGCCACCAGACCTCCCTGGCTGGATGGGACGTGTACACAGGCAATGCCCAGTTTTATTAAAATAATCAAACAGTCATTGGGGGCTGGCTGGGTTTTCATCTCCCCTTGGCTCCTCTCCCTGCCCCCCCCCAATGTATTATTTTGAGGGTCGAGTTGAAGAGGTCAATAGAAACGTAAACACAGTCAGTAATTAGGTCTTAGCCTGAGCAGACCCACACTGGGGCACCAAGTGCTTGGAATAAATGTCAGGGTTCCGGGTCTCATCTCCTGTACCCCCAACTCTGTTCTTTTCTGCGGCTCTGGTGAGAGACTTGGGCGAGCAGGCCAAGGTCTGGGTAGAGGGATGAAGGGAGGAGAACCGTCTTGGAGATCAGCACCGCCTGGTGTAACCCTCTGTGGCCGCCGGGACTGAAATCCGGGCAGGCCTGACACATGGTTGCACAGCTCGGAAGTGAATTGTCCGACCCTAAAAGCGGGGCCGCCTCGGAGAAAACCAACCCGAGAATTTGCTACAGTTCTCGCTCCACCTTCCAGGTTTGTTTGCAAACAGTCTTTCACCAAGACTGTTTATTTATTTGTGAAAACACCCTCACCCTTCCAAAACGTCAGCTCAGAGGACTCTGGGCTTGCTAAGTAGGCGACCCCCGGGGCCACAGACGGAAAACAAACAGGGCTTCAGGACGAGGCGGAATGTCTGCATCTCTGGCAAAAGGAAAGGGAAATCCAGAAAGACCTCTTCAATCCCTGTAAATTCTCAGAGATTTTCGGATAAAATAAATTCCCATAAATAACCTGCAGGCCCCTCTGAGAGGGAAAATCTGGATTCCCCCCATCACTGCCTAGCCAGATCCGCGGAAGTTTGTGGAGCACAGATGGTGCGGCCACCAAGCGAAATTGGGATTTTGAAACCTCCAGGGGGAATCTATTCGTGCCAGGTGACACTCAGGGCAAAATACAAGAGAGTGCGTTCTAATTTCGCCCGCCAGAAGTAGCAACGCTGAGAGGGGGGATTCAGCAGGGCCGAGTCAGGGCGGGAAGCTAGGGGGCCGGGGGCAGGCGAAGAGTTGAGAGAAACCTATCCCCCCCTCCTCCCCAAAGCTCTCCAGAGCGACACTCACCTCCAAAAATCCCACCTCTTCTATCCAGCGCAGAAGCCAGGAGTGACGCCTCGCTGGGGTGGGGGGGACTCAGGTGAAGAGTTTGGAAAAGACCCCCAAAAGAGAACCCTTTTAGGCCAAACCTTCTTCCAGCGTCTGTCAAGAGTAGCATGTACCTCCCAGCTCGAAGTTGGTTTGTGGTCTTCGACAAATTAAATATTACTGTTTATTACCAGGCATACCCCAATAAAATAAAGAGGCAACCAGGCGATACCGGCTATCTCACCAGCCGCTGCACCTATAGGACTTGGAGACGTCACGAGTCACGCAACCGGTCCGCGCTGTCACGCTCGACTGGGGGGCAGTGGCGGGAGGTTAATTTCTCTCCGTCTTCGCCTATCAGTCCCCGGGTCTGCGCAGCCACAAGTCCCGGACGCCTCGGCCACGGGAATAAATAAAGAAATAAACAAACCCAGCGCCCTCTGGGGAAATGGGGGTGGCGAACTTCAGGCACAAATTGAGCCAAGATCGATTTTCTTAGGGAGGGGGAGGGGACCTTTTCGTGAAGGGAGGTGGGAGCCCACCTCAGCCCACGATTGGAAAGCAATCAAGTTGTTCCAGGGGAACAAGGTCTCTTGCAGGAGGCAAGAGAGTCTCCTTATTATTTAAAAATTATTTCTCTGAGGAGGAGCTCTCGCCCAGGGAATGTTGCGGCGCCTCTGTAGCTGGTTAGGTTTGGGACGCGGTAACTCAGTGTCCCCTTGCAGACCTGCGTAGAAGTAATTACTGGGTTATCGCGGAGGGGAAATGACACAGAGACGCTGGGAGGAAGAAAGAGAGTCGGCTGTAGTGTTTCTTGCTGAGAAAAAAGTCCATTCTTCGAATGGTCCTTTAGCTAAGTCCGGGGACGAAAGTGGGCCCAGCGCGGCGTGGTGGGGGCGGGGTGCGAGTGGGTGGTGGGGTGGGCATGGAGGGGCAATTTCTGCAGAGAAAAATTATAGCGCCAGGGCCTGCAGAGGAACGAGGAGCTCTATTTTGTTTTATAATAACGTTTATTTTTCTTTTTTTCTTTTTTTTATCATCTGTGGGCATAACTTCTACGCAGCCCCGTGGAGGATGCGCGCGAGCTTTTGCGCGCAGCTGGAACGGCGCTCGGTCAGCTGGGAATCGGCCCTGCATAGACGCCCCCGGCGGCGCCGAGAAGAGAGCGAGCGAGCGCGCCGGGCCTTCCGGAGGGGTAAGTTCCCCGCCGAGGGACCCCGAGGGAGCCGGACCTTGCAATCTGGCCTTGCCCCCAGCTTCGGGGTTCGATCCTGGCTTTCGCGCTCCCCCTAGTCCCCAGGGCTTTCCGAAGCCTGGCCTGGCTCCAGGCCTGGTTCTTCTGGGGCTGGAGCGATGGCAAAAAAGTGCAGGAACGCGGTCAACTGAGCCTCCCAAGGAGCTAATAAGGTCAGGCCCGCGGGGAGAGCACGCAGTCGGCTCCGGCGCCCGCCGGGCCGCACACTCTGCTGCTTCCAGCACCAGCACCCGTGTCCCCACGCTTCGGCCAGGCCGCAGTGGCTTCCGTGAGCTTCGCTTTCGTTCCCCAAGTTACTCAGCATTATCTTTTCCCCAATCCGAGGCCCGCGGGCGCAGCCTTCGCTCCCAGATGCCAAGTGCGCAACCCGAGGTCCTTTGCCCCAAGCTTCGAGGAGAGTTGCTATTTGACCTCAGGGCCGGAAACCGAGGCCGAGGCCCGGCTGTAGCTGCAAGGGGAAGGCGAAACCCCGAGCGAGACGAGTCCTTTTCCACTCGACTCCCTTCTCTCGAGTCCCCGGTGCAGGCCCCAAAACCACCCCGCCCGACTCACAAAGGATTCAAGGATTCCGCATGCTCAGCTTCGCAGGCCCACTGTCCCACACGCTCGGGAGGCCGCTCCAGGGAGAGGGAAAATAAAGGCTTCAGCTAGACTGGAGAATCTGCCCTGTTTTTCCCAGTCCCTGGGCAGCAAACTGGAAAAAAAGAGGCTGCGGCGCGCACCATCCTTCCGCCTTTTGAAGCACTGATGTTTTCCCTGACCCGCTCCCAGCTCGTATTTCTCCCAGCACCTAGTTTTCTCATTTCGCCAAATTTCTGCCCTGGTTTTAACACTGCAATGGCAAGGAGAACAGGGGTTTCTATTGAAAGAGTCACAAACAAAACACACAAGCCAGGATGGACCACTGTTGATCGTTTTTTTTTTTTTTCCTTCTTTACTCTTGCCTAGTTTTTAAAGAAAGTCACCCTATTTATTTCCTCTCAAAAGAGAACTTAAGAATCCAACCCTTTCTGTTTCGCTTCCGACGTGTCCCCGCCTGACTGGGGTCTCAGGAAAAAAGTAGGGAGAAGTGCGGACAGAGGCTGGGAAAATTAATAAGAATTATAACAATAATCGAAATGATGACAAAAGTAAACTTTGACCAGCTCATTTTTCGAAAGAGAGGGTCAGACGGAGGGTGGGAATTTCCCTGGTTTCTCAGGGGGTCACTTTCCCTCCTGCCTAGTTAAATCTGGCTCCATGACATTTTTTCCAGGATTGCAGTATCTGACTTCCCAAAGTCTCATTCAGTTCCTAGCTTCCCCACTTCTGACCGGATGTATTTGGGAAGAATACTGGCTGCCGATGGGATTTTAATATCCATTATTCTCCAATATCTCCACCAATTATTATTGCTACTGATTGGACGGATCATTATTCATGCTGGTGTTGTTACCTGGGCTTTGGGAATATGCCTCCCCACTCCCCCAAATTTGGTGGGTGAGATTTTTGTCCCCTGGTCAGGGTCATGGAATCGGAACATCGCTTTGGAGGCCCAGCTGAGGTAGCAAGGCTAGAGGTTTGCAAGCCGCTGAAGGCGGGGACAAGCAGCACTTGGGGTGCAAAGGAGCGCTCTTCTTGCTTCCTTCAATTTGGGGGTCCCCAGTGGAGGAGAAGGGTGAAGGTCTGGAGATGAGAGAGCTGGGAGCGGACCCGCTGTCCTGAGAACTCCAGCCATATCTGCCGCCCAGAACCTATAGAAAGGCCGCTGGTGCAGTCACCGTGTCTGCGTGGTCAGCACTCCTCCACAGCCTCCAAAGACGTGGGGGAAAATACACAGAATTCCAGGGCTGTGACCCGGGAAGATAGAGACTCGGGCGAATACCTCCAGGTCTGGGATGCAGGCGGGGGGCTGTCTGGAGACCCCCTCCTTCAACTGGAGGGCGCAGTGGAAACTTGGGAGCCCGCTGCTGCTCTCCGGGGCTCTGGAAAGACAAATTTTCTTTGGCAAAGGGAACGGTGTCGCGCTGTCGACACGGCAGACTATTTTTCTTGTTCCCTCATAAGGAGTGGGTGGGTGGGGGGGAGAAAAGAGAGCAAGAAAGAGAGGGAAATTAAATCCACACGTGTTAAGCTTGCTCAAAGGGCCGGATTCAAAACCAGAGATGAAACTAGGACCCCAGTTCTGGCTGCTCGCCGGCCTCTTTCCAGCCAGCCCCAGCCTCCCAGGGCAAAGCGTCCCCACCGGAGAGAATTCGATCTGATGTTTCATAAAGCGCTTTATTTAAGGGGGCTAGGGGCAATGGTTCCTCTCTGTCTACACCGCAGAGTCAGAACTCAGAGTAGCAAAGAAAACAAAGGCGGTAGGAATTGCAGACTCACTGCCCCCTGTACTAAGGCTCGGCTGCGTATCTCCCAGTGACCCAAGGGTTCAGGTAACATTCGTGGCCAAAATGAGCCAGACATTCACAAAATCTGACCAGGTTTTTCGGGCTCGAGCCTCCCTGGGTCAAGAGAACCGAAAAGGCTGTTGTATTGACGCGGGAATAGCCGGCTTCATCTGCAGGGCTGACACGCATCCTTTGCCCCTTTCTTTGGGGAGAAACTTGCCTGGAGTGGAGGATACAGGCCCCAGCCCGGAGGAACCCTGCGCGTGCAGGGAAGGGGGGCAGATGGAGGCGGCCAACCCTCCAGGAGCTGCCAGTGAAAACTCTAGTAATGACGTTAAGGAGGTGAAGGGAGGCGGGTGGGGGTGCGGGTGAGGAGGGCGGCCAAACCCCAAACTGGAGGGATCCATCACCAAAACGATTGCTTGGTCGAGACCTCTAATTTTTCTTCCCTTTCAGCCCGGGGCCCGCGAGCACCGCATCGGGTCTCTCCTGGCCTCCTGGTGCTGGGTTTCCGGCCTTAGGGGGCAGCCGCGACAGAAGGGTCGGGAAGCGGGGACCCGAGACGCCTCGCTCCCCGGCCGCAATCACACCCGGAAAACACTGGGGTACAACTGACAGCGGTTCGTGGTGGAAACGCTTCTGGCAATAGTTTCCGCAAGAGCCCTCGGTTTCCTGGTCACCATGGCAACCCTGGAGTCCCGTCGAACTACCACCGGGAGCCCGGGGGACAATCGCGCACGTCTGCGGCGCGTTCTGAGGCCTGCAAGGCGCTTCCGCCCGTGGCGCTTGGCTTTCCCGAGCCCCCGCAGTGGTTCAACAAGGCAGGGGTCGAAAAGCTCCATCTTTTTGCAACAGAGGAGGAAATCTAGACGTAGTACCATCCCTGACGGGGAGGTTCAGATCTTGAGTAAAAGCCCCCACGTAGAGCAGCGACCTCGGAAACGCGCGCAGGCAGCGGGCGGGATACTTCCTTCGAAACCTGCACCTAGAACGTCTCGGCCGGGACCTGGGACCCCAGTAGTCGCGGGATCTTTTCACATCGACTGCCCACCCCGATCTGCACTCAAGGCTGCCACACCCGTCCGAGCCTGCCTGGAATAACTTCTCCGAAAGAGAAGGAGAAAAGTCGGGACGAAATTCTCAGCATGAATGTCTGCAAGGTCTTACTGAGGGAAAGAATAAATTATACCCCTTTTCCTTTTAGAGAAAACATTTGCGATTGTGGATGCAATATAAATCACATTGAAATAATATTTTGGGGTTGCACGGTCTTCCTTCTTGAACCTGCAGGGGGGAAAATGCCCCCTTTCTCTCGGGGATGGACAGTGGACAATACGTTTTGCATTTTGGAATCAGCAAGCTCTGAGAAAGAACCAGGGCGCTGACCAGCTCGGACTGAGCAGCTTGGCAGTGACTGAGGGGGCCAGCGGACAGGGGGGGCCACAGAAAGAAGGGGTCCAGGCCTGGGTGCCTGCAAGGGCCTTTGGCCATGGGGTGGGAGTGATTCCTCTTTTGGGGTCCTACCCCGTTTCACTCTCTACCTTAGACCCCATTTGTCTCTGGGCTGGGTAGAAAAGACAAAACTTAGCTTCCGTTTCTCTACTTCTGATGGGTCATCTAATGTCCCCCAAAGCTCTGGGCTGACCTGGAGTGCCCCCACCCCCTCCTTCCCAGCCTGAATCCCAGACAGTCCACAGAGGTTCCCTTAACTTCACCCCTGTCTCCTGCCCTCCCCAGTTTTAGGCTCTAATATTCTCAGAAGAAGCCTCGCCTCTGTCTGCAGAGCCACAAAGAGAAAGAAGCGTGAGCATTTGGGGCTCAAAACGCTGTTGGCTTTTGAGGTGTGATAATAGCTCCCATTTATGGCAGGCCAGGAGGCAACATGGTTTCACTCACTCCTGCAGCGCTCCCATAATTAGGCTCAGAGAAGGTGAGGGCTTGACCAAGTCACACGGTCTCTGCTGGAAGTGCACCCATCCCC